GGATTATAGGCATGTACCACCATAGGCAGCACCAATTATTTTACATTAAGTCATATTTAATATTATTTGGCATTTGATTTTTAAAAGAATATGCGTAATTTCTATAAAATTCCACAGCATCTACTTCAAAACATATTAATTCATTTAAAGAAATCCATTCATTCAACCAAATTATTGAAGCCCTTATGTGTCAAGCATTATTTTGTTTTAGACACTTAGAAACAACTATTTTTTTAACCCAGGGTTGCTCTACTATGGAACTAGATTCCCAGCCTTTTTTTCTAGTTTTATTTTTAGAGTTTCACTGAATTGCCCAAACTGGCCTGGAACTTGTGATCAGCCTGCCTCAGCTTCCTAAGCACATAGGATTGTAAGTGTGTACCATCACACCCTTGCTAGGAAGCAATAACTTCTAAAACTTCTCCTTTCTTCCTTTGCAAGTAGTAGCAGACAGATAATAAACATTAGACATTGCTGGATGGGTTGTGGTGGCACATGCTTATAATCCTAGCATTTGGTAGGATTACGGGGTAAAATAGTAAAAGGGATGAATTTTTTTCCTTTCAAAAAAATTTTTTTGAGCCAAGTGTGGTGGAGCACACCTATAATCCCATTACTTGGGAGGTTGAGGCAGGAGGACTGCTGCTTTGGAGGTCAGCCTAGGCTATACAGCATGTTGGAGGCCAGCCTGAATTACATAGCCAGACTTTGTCTCAAAAAACAAAGCAAAATTTTTGCTGTTTTTTGGAAACAAGTTATGTGTGGTTTAGGCTGGCCTCAAACTCACCCGTGCATTCCTCCCACCTGAGTCCCATGAGTGCTGGGATTACAGGTCTGTGCGACCAGGCCTGGCTGAAGGATGGATGAATTTAAGATCAACCTGAGCTACATAACAAGACCCTGTCTCCAACAATGTAAATGTACTTTAAAAGCAATAAATTATATAGAGAAAAACGTTGAATAGGGGTTAAGAGGCAATTCCAGAGCAGAGCAGGCTGCAATTTTAAATAGCATGGTTAAAGATTTAAGAAGGTGACATTTGAGAAAATACTTGAGGCAGGGATGTATCTCAGTACAAAGCATCAGCCTAGCATGTGCCAGGACTTGGGTTCAATCCCTAGAATTACACCCTCCAAAAAGAAAACTTTCCCCCAGACCTGAAAAAAACTCAAAAACGTAAGGAAAACAAATGCCAAAGAAATAGACTTGAAGGAAGTGAGGGAATCAGTCAACTACGGTGACTCGCAAGTACCACAGGCATAGGAACAAACAATGCAAAGGCCCTGGAGTATTTGAGAACAAGGAAACCAGTGAGGTTGGAAGGAAGCCAGCAAGGAAAATAATTGGTAATAGTGACAAATATGTGTAGAAAGGGAACACAGATTATGTGGGTTTATGGAACACTATAAGGAATTATTCCCTCTCATTACACAGAGATCCACAAAAGGTTGAACCAAGTGTCATGATGTATTTTACCAGCATCATTGGCTGGTGTGTTGAGAACGTGTTATAGATAGAGGAAGGTAAAAGCAGGGTAACCAGTTGCGAGATTACTAAAGAAACCAAGGAAAGAAATATGTAGTACTTCCTACAAATGTTGATCATACTGATACAGGGCTTATTTAGTTTTGGTTGTTTTTTGTTTCTCTGGTACTGAAGACTGAGCTCAGGGCTTTGTACATACTAATTATATAACCTATCCCTAAGTTATACCCTTAGCTCTGGACTTTTCAGCACAAATAAAACAAAAACAATTCCATCAGATCTTGCTAAAATAACTGGAATTGTGTTTTATAGAGCTCGTCGCATATATGTTCATTGTACAATATAAACACAAAAGCTTTAACTACTCACTGCAGAAAGTGTTCCTTTACCTTCATAATCAACTATTTCCTGTTTGAAGCCCTAGCTGTCTATACTAAGTGAGCCAATATTATTGTGGCTCTGTTAATTATATACTACTTCTTTTTTTTTTTTTTGGTGCCGGGGATTGAACTCACGACATTGTGCTTGCAAGGCAGGCACTTATGACGTATATAGTACTTCTTGAAAAAATTACTTTTGACAACTGAAAATATTATAAATCATTTACCTTAGATTGGTGCTTTTCAGATCATCTTATTTCCTTTAGTGGAGACAATATTTTTCTGTAAGTTTCTTTTTTTGCCATGTGTGGTAGTATACATCTCCCAGCACTTGGGAGGCTGAGGCAGGAGGATCACTGTGAGTTTGAGGCCAGCCTGGGTTACAAAGTTAGTTCAAGGCCAGTCTGAACTGCACAGTAAAATCTCATCTCAAAAGACCAAGAAAAAAACCGTGGTAGGTTCTTTTTATGCTCTCATCTCTTAAAGTAAGTATTTTCTTAAAATTTATACTAAATTTGCCTATCATTATTTGGGTCATGCTCCTCAGGAAGGGCCAGCCACAAAAAATTTCCACTATCAAAAATAATACATTCCAAAAAAGTGCTCACAGTGCCAGAAAATGCTTACTATTATCTTGCCCTTTTGGAAAGAGCAAATACAATAATCCCATAAATCCCAAAGTTTTCTTTAATATAACAATTATCATAAGGATAAGAAAAAGACATTTGCCTGGAAAGGCTAAGGAGCAAAGATCATAAAATTAAAAATTCATACTTCTAAAAAATGTGCTCATAGTCAGGCATGGTGGTGCACTCCTATTAATCCTAGCGCTTGGGAGGCTGAGGCAGGGGGATCATTGCAAGTTCAAGACCAGCCTTTGCTACAAAGTAAACCCAAGGCCAGCCTGAACCACATAGCAAGACCCTGTCTCAAAAAGACAAAAAAAAAGTGCTCATGAACTGAAGCATATTTTTGTTTACATAGGAGGGAGGACAAAATGAAATATAGTTTATTCGCTTAACTCAAAAAACATACTATCCAGATTTGGCATGGCACTAGATTACCCCTATGACATCCACATGTTCTAAAGAAAAATAGGAATGAAAATGTAGTAATACTGAATTCAAATTAATGCATTCAACATTTAGGTGTTTTTACATGCCAGAAACCACATGAATCACTGCAAGTGATGGCCTTTGAAAATGATGCTCCTATATTTCACTATCCCAGTTACCGAGCACCTCTATGAGCCATATGCTGTAAATACAAAACATCTGTACATGGGAAGGAAAAGAACACCTCAAGAATGAGACAAACTGGCATAAGCCTGTAATCCCAATACTTGGGAGGCTCAGGCAGGAGGATTGCTGAGAGTTTGAGGCTAGCCTAATCTCTGCAGAGGGTTGAAAGCCAGTCTAAATTGCATAGTGCAATCCTGCTTTAAAAAAAAAAAAAAAAAAAAAAAGAAAAGAAAAAGAATGAGACACACTAACACATCTAATTAAAGGAAGACATTAAAGTGTTATGGGTACAGTTTATATAACTGGAGAGCAACACATCCAGGAATTCCAGGTGGAAGGGAAGTAGTATCAGGACTTCAGATACAACCAAGAGCTGAGTCCTTAAAGAGGATTAGATATTCAACTGGGCGGCCTCAGGGGAAGCGCTCCAAGCTGAGGGCAACTGGAGCTAAGGCAGATGTGCGAACAATCTGATGTATTTGACAAGCCTGGAATACCCAATGTGGGAGGAGCCAAGAAGATTTCTGTGTGCCACAATTAAGACTGGACTTTACCCATAAATGTGAGAGGACTTTGAAGGGTTTATTTTATTTTTTTGTTTTTCTGAGACAGGGTCTCACTAAGCACTTCATGCTGATCTTGAGCTCATTTTGTAACCCAGATGGCTCTCAAACTTGTAACGATTCTCCTGTCTCAGCTTCCTGAGTGCTAAGCTTAAGAGCATGTACAACCATGCCCGGATGAAGGATTTTATTCAGAAAAACAGCCTATGTGATCAGGTTTTTCTGGTGTGATGAAACTGGTTTACACAGGAATGACAAAAGAAAACACTTAGATAATGATGTCATCACATGAAACAACAAAGGAGACTACCCAGTTAGAAAACTAAACTCTTCAGGAAGAAAACCCAGTACAGTCATTCAAGCCCTTCTAGAAAAAAATTTCCATTATAATTTTTGTTTGTTTGAGACAGGGTGCAGCATGGCCTTGAACTTACTACGTAGCCTAGGTTGGCCTTGGACTCAAGACAATTCTCCTTCCTCTGCTGAGTGCTGGGATTACAGGCTTGTGCCATTACATCTGGCTTCATTATCATTTAAAATTGAAAAAATAATTAAGATTTTTAGATGTATCATAGATTACAGCTATACTGAGTTTTCAAGATGTCTTTGCTCTAATTCTGTAACACATCTGGGACCACTAGTTGTTGTACAAAGAACAAGGAAACCCAATGAAACTGATAAAAAGCAAGAACCACCAGTAACAGACGGCATTTCCCAAGTGAGGCGGCGAGGTTTCCAAAGTTCAAGATAATCAAGTTTTACATCAGTTCGTTTAAAAGGTGTGTCACAGGGGTGGAGCAAAAGAAGGAGGAGCTAAAATCAATATATTCATAAAACAAGTAAGTTGATGTCGCTATAACTAAAAATCTCCAGTTGGCGATGTCTCCCAAGAAGAGGGAACGACATCTACCATAGGTAGGGGTGAGGAAGACACGTATATGAAAATATAAATGGGGGGTTGGCCAGCTACTCTGAACCTATAATCCAACTGGTGATGCAGAAAGGAACTCATGGGATTGAGACAAAAAGGCAAGAAAATGTCACTCTCGAACTCCACATATGAACCACCAGACAGACACTGGCGAATGTGATCACACACTGATTTCCCGAACTCAAGGACAGAGTATTATGCCCAAACGGCGTCCGAAGGAGGTGAAGGATCAGCCCCATTCGGGAATCCGCGACTCGCCGCCCTCAGGCCCAGACCTCAAGAGGTCGGCGACCCCCAGGATAGGCCTCGACAAGGCCCGAGGCAGAGACAACTCGAAACCCCCTCCTGCTCTGCAGGGCGGCCTCTCCCGTCTCTCCCCGCAGACACACACCCTCCCTACCTGATATGGCGGCGGCGGCTCCTGATCCGGCTCCGTGCCCTCGCCAAAGCTAGCCCGGTCTGACTGAGACTCGTGAAGCAGGGAGATGTCATCCGAGGTGGGGGATTTGAGGCAGTTCCCCATCTTCGGGGCAGGGCCGTGATCTAGGGAAGGAAGAAAGCAGTGACCGGGTCTTTCGCACGCTCCGCGGTCAGGCTCGCTCGGCGAGGTGGGGTCGGCAGCAGGCCTAGTCTCAGGCGGCGGTTCCCCCGCCCCCTGGTACGGCGAAGCGGTTGCTCATGCCAGCCCCCGGGGACGGGGACTCAAGGCTGGGCCGCAGGCTCCGCCGGGGTCGCGGCAGTGGCCTCCGGCGAGCCTGCTGGGGGGGGGGCGGGGGCGGGGAGACGAGGCGCTTCCCCACCCCGCCCCCCCGCGGGGCTGCGGCGGCCACGGAGCCGCTGGGCCTAATCCAGGTCAGGAGGGGGGGGCGCGGCCGTCGCGGCTGCCTCAGCTGCTGCCTCAGCTGCTGCTGCCCCAGCCGACGCCGGAGCCACGGCCGCGGGCCTCATCCTACTCCGCCTCAGCGCGGCGGCGGCGGCAGCGGCCAGAACGAGGCCGGCGGGGCCCTGCGTCATCCCGCCCTGCGTGCTCGGGCCCCGCCCACGGCTCCGCGCTCCTGCCGCCCCGGCCGCGGCGCGCGGGGTCTGCGCCAGGCGGTGTCTCCTCCTACCTGACTCCGAAGCCCTTCGGCGGTCCCCTTGCTTCCCCACGAAGGCTGTTCTAAGCAGTTCACCGTCTGAGCCTCGCCTCTCTACTGTACACTGGACAGTCTTACCACCTTCTGCTAAGGCTCTGTTCTGTTTATAAACCTGTCTCAGTCAGAATGGATCAATCCCACGGTTAAATTGTTACCCGCCTTCCCCTTTTATCCCTTCGGAATAAAGTCCAAGCTCATTAATAAACCTTCCCTGTCTCTCCAGTCACTCCTTTCCTACCCTACAACACAGCAGAGATAATCCACTTGTGTGTCTCAGATTATCTTTCTTTACATTCCTACCTGTAAAGCCACTGTCCGGTGTCAACGCGCCTGTCAACACGCCTTCTGCTATAGACGGTGAATCGCCTAGCATTGGCTATTGTCCCCATCCAACCCACTATTTGCACAACCAAGGGATTTACCTTTACAAATATAAATCTAGTCATATAATTCTGTTTAAAACCTTCAGAGGCTCCCCGGTACTGTCCTTAACACAATCTTCAAATAGTTCACAAGTCTGACTACCTCTTCAATCTCCTCCACAAACTAAACTCTAGGCTGCCCATACTGTTTTTGTTACCTGGAAGGCAGATCCATCCGCATGGGGCCTGTCCACATGTTCAGCTTCTGAAGAAATCTTCCCCATTCCTACCTTCTACATCTCATCAGGCTAATTATTGTTCTCATGTCCTTTTGGGGTTTAGTTTCATTTCTCTAACCTTCCAGTGTGGGTCTGCCACCTCCCCTGTGCTCTCAGACCCTACACTTTTCCCTGTCGCAGTCTGATGAAGCTGAATCATCCGTCCTTTTGTGTGAGGCCTGGCACCTTGGCTCAGGTAGAACACGCTTTCTCCTTGTTCACTGAACAGCTCCAACAACACACTCAAAGGAAAGAAGCATGGAAAATGAATTATATTCATCTAGCCGGCAGGCAAGTTGTGACCTTGACTCCTTTTCTTTTATTCACCATTTGCTGATTTTTATTTTTTTTAATGCCAGGCTGTATGCTAGGCAATAGGAAGGATCTGGCTTTTTTTCCTGGAGCCCAGAGACCAGCTAGGAAGACAAAAAGGTGAGCACATGTGAGATTTTTAGAGATTCAGAAGAGAGTAGTTCACTTGAGTAAGAATCAGAAAGGAGTCTTAAGAGCTCTTACTGGGTGAAATCAGGCTGGGTCTAAGAGTGAGCGTTTACTTTGAACGTGCTGAGACTGTCTCAAAAAAAAATTTACTTTAGAAACACCAATTCTACAAAATCTTAGAGCTGGCGTATGGCTCAGTGACAGATCACTTGCCTACTTGGCTAGAATGCACAAGACCCTGGGGTCAGCCTCCAGCACTGTCAAAAAAAAAAAAGCACTCAAATTCCATTTTAAAAATAACATTTTAGCTTTGCAATTTTTTTAAATTTGAGACTGGGTCATCTTCTGTCATCCAAGGCTGGCGTCAAACTCATGGTGATCTTTTCGCCTCAGCCTCCCAAAAGTGCTGGGATTACAGATGTGTGACATTGCACACAGTTTTACAATTTGTTTTCCCTCCGGTACTTAACACTATCATAAAGGCTTGAAGCAGAATAGGGTGGCACACATCTATAACCTCAGCATTCTGGGATGTTGAGGCGGGAGAATTGCAGGTTTGATTTTAGTTTTTTTGAAACTAACCTGAACTACATACTGAGACTTTGTCTCAAGAAACACCAAAAAATAAAGCCAAGAGCAGTGGTGCACACCTGTAATCCCTGCATTTGGGAGGCTAAAGCAGGAAGACCACAAAGAGTTCAAGGTCAGCCTGAGTTACATAGCAACACACCATCTCAAAAAGCCTAAATAAATAAAATAAGAAATAAAGAAAGCCAGATGTTGTGGCACATGCCTGTAATCCTAGCACTCTGGAATGTTTAAGCAGGAGGATCACAAATTTGATCCCAGCCTGAGCAGTTTAGTGATTTAGTAAAATCTGGTCTCAAAAAAGTGCAAAGGGGGCTAGGTTTAATCCTCAATACCTGCCAAGTTTGGTGACACATGCCTGTAATCCTAGCACTCAGAAGGCTGAGGCAGGAGGATCACTGAGTTTGAGGCCAGCCTGGGCTACGTAGTGAATTCAAGGGCAGTCTAAATTGCATAGCAAGACTCTGTCTCAAAAATAAAATAAAATAAAAGAAAATTAAAGAAAATCTGCTTTAGTTGTATGCTAGCAGATGTGGAGAACCAGTAATGATGGACAGGATCCCTGCCTGCCTTTAGACAGTTCAATGTGTAGTAGGGGGTGGTATAAAAAGACAATTAGAAACTCAGGCTTTTATTCTACATTTTTCTTTCTTTTTCACTTACAAATCGTGTGTGTGTGCGTGTGTGCGTGTGCATGTATGTAGAGAGAGACTGAGAGAGCAGACAGACAGAGTCAGAGAGAGAGAGAAAGCACCACCTCACAAAAGTACCTTTAGATCTCTGTGTCTGGTGACAGAACTATTGAATGTTCCTGAGCCCAGTGATACCAACTGGTAAGGTAAGGAACAGTGTTGAAATATCAGTTCCTTTCTCCTTTTGCAGAAATTTAAGTCAGTTGTAAGTCACATTTTTATTTTTAAAGACCGGATCTGGCTATGTACTTCAGGCTGAATTTAATCTCACTGGTAGCCCAAGCTGGCCCTGAGTTTGCAGCGATCTTCCTGCCTCAGCCCCCTCATTATACAACACTTTTTAAGTAGCCACAGAGCATGAGATTCTGTATCAGAATCTATAGGGACTTAATAAGGAAATAGCATCTAACCCATACGTGTCAAAAGAAAGTATGGAAGTGATAATTTTAGAAAAATAAGGTAGCTACTGATCATTATTTCTGCAGGAAGAGGCTTTTTCTTTCCAGTCCTGGAGACTGAACCCAGGACCTTGGGCATGCTAGGCAAGGGCTGAACAACTGAGCCATGTTCCTAGCCTCAGCATTATCCCTTAGGGATGAATGGAGTAACAGCTACAATTTTAACGTAGCTTAAAGAATGATACATGTGGCCTGGATGATGATGCTAATAAGATTGCAATAACACAATAATCATTGTAATAATATTTCCGTCAACAACAGACCACATGTACTGTAAGATTATAATGGAGTTGGGTGTGGTTCTGCTTTCCTGTAATCCCAGTTCTCAGGAGGCTGAGGCAGGAGGATTGCTGTGAGTTTGAGGCCAGCCTGCATTAACAAAGCAAAACTTTGTCTCAAAAAACAAAACAAAACAAGCTTATAATGGAGCTAAAATTTTTCTCTCAGTGATTTCTTAGCCATGACAGTATTGTAGCTCAGCAGTGGGAGTGGCAGTATAAATAAACCTATTGTGCTGCCACGTAAGTGTGTAGCAATACAATTAGATGCCCTACATAACACTTGACAACGATAATAAACAATTATGTTATTGGTTTAGGCATTTAATGTATTATTCTTTTATTATTTTAAAGTATACACCTACCTATAAAGAACGTTTCCTGTAAAACAGGTTTGCCATGCTGCACGAGCAGCAGGCTCATCTCCCTCTCCTCTACTCCTTCTCTCTTTTTCCAGTACGGGGAGTTGAACCCAGGGCCTCTCACGTGCTAGGCAAGTGCTCTACATTGAGCTACAACCCCAAGCCTTAAAAACATTATATTTTTTTGAGACAGCGTCTTGGTAAGATGCCTAGGCCAGCCTCAAATTTTCACTGCCCCCTGCCTCCACACTGGCATCACATCTCTGAGTCGCATTATTTTCTCTGTAATTTTGCCTTGTGGTAGTTTGCTCATTAAAACCCCTAAGCATACAAAATCCATTGCAGCTGTTGCTGTTTGGAGACCACATCAGGCAATGGACCTGGAAATGAAAAGTCATTAAGAGGAAAAAAAAATGTCATTCAGAAACCAGGCAGGGTGACACAGATCTGTATCCCGTTCATGAGGCTGAGGCAGGAAGATCACTTGACCATGGGTTTATAGCTATTTTGGACAACATAGCAAGTTCCTATCTTTAAAAAAAAAAAAAAGGTTAGATCTGACTATGTATGGCAAATTTACTGGTAGCACTGGTTGGTTTAAGAGTTAAGGCCAGAAGTGTGGCTCAGGGATAGAATGCTCGCCTATCATGTATGATCCTGAGATTGAGCTCCAGAACTGCAAAAATAAGAAACAAGTCAGATGCGGTGGACATGCCTATAATCCCAGCTACTCAAAAGGGTGAGGTAGGAGGATCTTAAAATTAAAAGCCAGTCTTTGCAAATTAACAAATTGCTGTCCCCAAAAGTAAAGCTGTGGATGTAGCTTGGTGATAGAGAACTTAGCTAGAATTGTGAGACCCTAGGTTCGACCCTAACACCATAAATTAATAATAATATAAAAACAAAAATATTCAAGAGTCATTATTAGGGAACCAGGTGTGGTGGCACATTCGTGTAATCCCAGGAGGTGGGGCTGGAGGATCACAAATTGGCAGCCAGCCTGAGCAGTTTGAGAAACTGTCTCAAAGACAAAAACAAACTGGAGATGATGGTGCACGCCTGGAATCCCAGCACTTGGGAGGTTGAGGCAAAAGGATGATTGCAAATTCAAGGCCAGCCTGGACTACAAAGTGAGTTCAAGCTACCCTGAACTGCATAGTGAAAGAATGACATCTG